ATATATGGAAAGGGGAGGGTGATGGGTTAGGAGATATATTATATATGGAAAGGGGGAGGGTAGGAGGTGTGGGAGATATTTATATATGGAAAGGGGGAGGAGGGTAGGGGAGGTGTAGGAGATATATTATATATGGAAAGGGGAGATAGGGGAGGTGTAGGAGATATATTATATATGGAAAGGGGAGGGTAGGGAGGTGTAGGAGATATATTATATATGGAAAGGGGGATAGGAGGTGTAGAGATATATTATATATGGAAAGGGGGGAGGAGTGGTAGGAGATATATTATATATGGAAAGGGGAGGATAGGGGAGGTGTAGGAGATATATTATATATGGAAAGGGGGAGGGTAGGGAGGGTTAGGAGAAATATTATATATGGAAAGGGGGAGGGTAGGGAGGTAGGAGATATATTATATATGGAAAGGGGAGGGTAGGGGGTAGGAGATATATATTATACATATGGAAAGGGGAGGGTAGGGAGGTGGAGGAGATATATTATATATGGAAAGGGGGGAGGTAGAGTGTAGGAGGTAGGAGATATATTATATATGGAAAAGGGGAGGTAGGGAGGTGTAGAGATATATTATATATGGAAAGGGGAGGGTAGGAGGTGTAGGAGGGGAGATATATTATAATGGAAAGGGGAGGGTAGGAGGTGTAGGAGATATATTATATATGGAAAGGGGGAGGGTAGGGAGGTAGGAGGGGTAGGAGATATATTATATATGGAAAGGGGGGAGGTAGGAGGTGTAGGGAGGTGTAGGAGATATATTATATATGGAAAGGGGAGGGTAGGAGGTGTAGGAGATATATTATATATGGAAAGGGGGAGGGTAGGGAGGTAGGGGAGATATATTATATATGGAAGGGAGGGTAGGAGGTGTAGGAGATATATGGAAAAAATGATGCACCAAATTAATCAAGAGACACTAAACAATGATACTGTACAACGTGGGTCATGATACTGTAAGAGTCCTCTGACCTATGGTGATTGAGAGGCCCACACCTTATAGAGCCCTGAGGTAAGTTTGTGATGCACATACAACATTATAATCATCTTCACTCAAGCAAATCTTGTAAACTTATAAAGTATTACAATATCAAATATAATCAATCTTTTCCCCACAAGACCTTCAATAAGTTAATCTAATGTTACTTATCACACAAACAGAATTACAAAATATAGTAACAATATCAAGAAGAAGTCATCAAAACATCAATGAAGTGACTTAGAGCTAAAAGTAACAATAAACTCAATAGCACTAAGTCATCTTTAATAACATAGATCAAGGCAAGACAGAACCCAATACAGTACAGTATTGGTTGTATATAGTCAAGACATACACAACCCCTTTACTATGCCACTTTTAATATTTCCTTTGGCTACAATTAGACAGTTTTATTCAGCCCATGGACCCCAGACACAAGGAGTTATAGTTCTGTAAGTAAAATAGTCATGCAGGTAGATAGAAATACCAATGTGCTTGTGGTGGTGTCCGAATGTACGTACAGCATCCTTCTCGGTGACTGTATGAGCCTCCAGAAGATGTGATTGGCTATGTGACCAATACAGAGGGTCACACTTCACCAGCTACAAGATTTTGTCTCACTTTGGTATAATGTTGTCATGTATGATAAACAAATATGTATGAAGGATGCATGTCTACCATAGTTGTCAGGCATCACAAACACAGCAATGTGAACACAAATGGTCACAAGTTCCTGTACCAGAGACATAACAATGAGTATAACAGTAAGTGCTTCTTATATACCTGTTGGAATATTTAATGTCCTCCTCCTCTATCTTTATCATTAACTTGTCTTCATTTTTCTATATTTATTCCCAATTTTTCCTCTTTATTTCTCTTCTGTCTCCGTCTCCTCCTAGTCTCCCTTTATCTATATTTCTTCCCAGTTAGTCCTGTAAATTTCCCTCCTTCATTTCTACTGGCTTTTTCACAAAGTCTTACAGAAACACAATAATAGAGCCCTTGGTCACCTGTACTTTGTACTGTAATACAGGGGTCCCTGAGTTACAAACGTCCGATTTACCAACACCTGTCAACACGAACGAGGTCCCATAAGGTCAATTGTTTTAAGAATTCAACATAGGTACAACTGGTTCGTAGTATTAACATACGAGAACTAGTTTGTGTGGCGTAGCGGCAGGTGGGGAGTAATGAGTCACCCAGCCTTGAGGGAGCGTCAGTACACCTTACCCTCACCTCAGTAACGTGTGTGATCAAGTGTAAACTGTTGTTTTTGGCTTTTTAACTCTATTTTACTGACCTCATCATGGCTCCCAAGTGATGGTAGTACATCCAAGAAAAGGAAAACAATTACAATGGAAGTGAAAGTTGATGTAATTAAACATTCTGAAAAAGATGAAACAGCCTCAGTCATTGCTCCGTTGTTTCCCTTTTCCCGTGTGATTTTATATATATATATATATATATATATATATATATATATATATATATATATTAAGAATTTACCATTGCTAAATCTTCAAGAACAAAGTACTTTTGGTACAGTATATTACAAATATTTCTAGTATCACAAGTAGCAAACTGTTAGCACCAGACATAGTACAGTATACTGCACTATACTGTATAACTAATCTATAAATATATCTCTGTATTTCTTTAAACCTTCTTCTAAAAACTTATAGTAAACAAACTCTGCTGGGTCATGGAAGCCCTGTTGAATCATTGTGTCGTTCAGTTCAGCATCCAACACCTGGTTGGCATTAATGGCTGCCACCACGTACCCTGATGCCTCCTGTATCAGAATCTGTACGGGAAAAGTATAGGCATCCAGAGACAGACTCGCTATCATGGAGACCCCCGGCAGAATGGTGTTCCCAGCATGACTCTGTAAGTGATGATGGGATTACTGTACCGTTTTGTAAGTACTGTAATAATACAAGTTTTATCAGGTAACAAAGTTCCCCTATAATATATTTACTAGTGAGGGAAGGATAAACACAGTACACTGACCACAGCTCACAGGACATACTGTACTGTACTATCATCTGTATTATGGTACAGTCACAACATTTCTGAGGCAGTGACTACAAGACCTTTCCCTGCCACACTGTAGTCTCTCTCTCTCTCTCTACATAACACACCACCTCCCCTGCCACACTGTAGGGTCTCTCTCTAAATAACACACCACCTCCCCCTATTACTAAGATAAACAATAAAGTTAATTCATATAATAAAACACAGTACAGGTGACCCCGCATTACAGAAACCCTGGTTATGGAAATTGGCCCTCACGAAATTTTGAAATTACTGTATGACCCAAAAATTTGAGATACAGTCGAAAAATTCGCCCTTACAGAATTTAGGTTAATTTAATAAGTTTTCAAACCTTAAAATCGCAATATAAAACAAAAAATTTCACCGAAATTATAAAATTTATTTTGTGTGGATTCTCTGTGGTAGCTATAAGACCGTGTGTGCCAACCCAGCAGCCAGCACAACAACAATGGCACTGTTCAGAATGAATTTGTTCTCCAGCTTGTGTTCAATTTTGCATCTGTGTTACTGTGTACCCTTAATCAAGATGAGTGGGATGAAGCCATTAAATTCAAGTGAAAGTAGTGGTGATACAAGATCCCATAAAGAAATTAGGTTGGACATTAAACATGATACTTTAAAGATGTAACTCCCAGTAACCACCTCACCTCCTCCAGTAGTTAACATCATCACTGGTGAGCTAAATTCAAGTGTGTGCATTTATTTTCATGTTACATTATAATGAATCATTAGATGCCTTTAAAACTGTTTATTTATATTCGTAAATATGCTTTTGACTGAAAAAATTTCCTTGGCAACACATCTCAAAATGTATAATGAGAGTCAACGGGAAAAATGGTCCCGCGTTTTGGAATTTCGCGATAAGGAAAATTTTTCAGGAACGGAGCCCCGCCGTAACCCGGGGATGCCAGTAGCACGTATAGTAGACCCTTTCCATTCGTGTTGTACTCTTAAAACTTTAGTGTTTCTGTGTTAAATGGCCCCTAAAAGAATGCCTAGTGTCAGTGCTATGGAGTAAAATGTAAAAGGCAGAAGTCAGTGATAAACCTGACAAAGAAACTTGAATTATTAGACAAGTTAAAGGAGGGGATCAGTGCTCTGTGGCTGGTCAGTTGTTTGGTATACAGTACAGTAGTGAACTAAGGCAGTATAAGTTGCTATTCATGGTTTTGCCTATTAGTGCCATTCCTTGGAACCAAACCCCTGCAAATAAAAAGGGTTTACTGTACTTTATGTAAAAAAAAAATAAAAGAAGCTATTTCCACACCCAAACTATCCTCAGGGCAACACGACACAGTTCGTGCAGTCAACGAGCTACTCACAGACAAGTCGCTGCCACAGTGGCTGTATGTATGCTGTGAGGTCACATCAGGAGGAACACAGCCACGCAGTAGCCCACCACCTCAACATTTACACATTGATGCTCTTCATTTTTCTTATTTTTTTAGTTTTATATTATATTTTCTTCATCTCTAAGCTACATCAGTTATATAGAGTAGAATAAGTTTTAAAGATGTCAGTTTTTCTGAGACACGTATTTGTAAGGTCAGCCTGTAGCACTGTGCATTGTTGCATTTATGAGGGGAATCCTAAGAGAGAGTTCAACTAACCAGAAAACTTTTTATCCAGCACTTCTCAATCCCCCCATAGGTGACGGATAACTGGGATTCTACTGCATCTAGGAAAATTAGTTGAAAAAGTAAGGCTCAGCTGACACAAACATGAACAGTGCTATGATAATTATACCAGTATCTCAAAAAAGACTTGTGTCATGTTGTAGGTTGTGAGATATGAATAAGTTGTCATGATAGTGAGTAAGGCTTATCTCATGTTGTAAGTTGTGAAGAAGTTATAGTAACAATGAATAATTTACCTTCAGTTCTGTCACCAGCGCCCAGGATGAGACAAAACTGTCGTGGAGTAGAGCGAGCACTTTAGGAGCAGCTAGTGGCCCCTCCCTCAGTGCCCTGCCTGACCCTCAGCACGACTGGTCCGCCAACACTCCCCACAGCACCACTGAGTGTATCGGCTGCCGCTCACTGCTGGCCACACTGTATGCTTCTGTGAAGTTGTGGTACTCAACCTGTACATGGTATAATTTAGCTGTAAGATGATATGACATAATATAACTGTAATATAATATAATATAACTATTATTTTATAAAATAACTTTAGATAATATTACTGTAAGACGATACTGTAGGTCCACCACCAAATTTCGGGGAACAGATGGTCCGGTCCCTCTTTTAGTTCGGACAAAATTACGAAACGGCACTTAACTTCCCTCCCTCCCTCCCAGCCAGGATGAAGGCAGTTTTAGGCTTAATGTTTTTATCTTAGAAAATGTAGCTGATTAGACTTAGCAGATTATAGCTTGCATTGCTGGAATCCTTGTAAGATAGAGATTAATTTGGGTATAAACATCACATAGTTTGCACGAGATAAAAATTTTAGTCTAGTGTAGTGCATTTGAGTACAGAATGTGTACAGTAATGTTACTCAAAATTATGGCTTTTCACGTTTAATTTACATTTAATATTGGTTTAATTTAAGTTTCTAGCAGTCCATGGTGCTTTACAGACACGGGAGGTATATAATTAGTGGGTGTATTGTTGAATTATTATTACCTGACCTCGGTTGGTCCGGCAAAACGGATAATCCGGCAATGCTTTGGAACCAAGGGTGCCAGAAAATCGGTGGTGGACATGTACCATAATATAACTAAGATGATATTACTGTAAGATCATATAACATATCTAAAATAATATACTATAACATAACTGTAATATGATACAGTACTTGTACAGTATACTGTCACAAATACTGTATAGTATGACAAGATATTACTGTAACATGATGTAACATGATATTGTAAGTTGACATAATGTTATTACAGCCATCTTGACCATGGATGACGACCACCAGTGCTTGGGATGGGTTGGGTTAGATCACCGTCCCTACAGCTAACTTCCACTGATGATGATCACCGTCCCAACAGCTAACTTCCACTGATGATGACCACCGTCCCTACAGCTAACTTCCAGTGATGATGATCACCGTCCCTACAGCTAACTTCCACTGATGATGACCACCGTCCCTACAGCTAACTTCCACTGATGATGATCACCATCCCTTCAGCTAACTTCCACTGATGATGACCACCATTTAAGGGTTAATTGTATAATGTACAATTAACCCTTAAATGGTGGTCATCATCATGTACAATGTACATGTGTCTTATCAGTACATTTGAAGAAGAGCATCAAGTGTCCAGTACACACTCACCTGCATATATTTATAAAATGTTTTCCCCACAAGTTTGAGAGCTTCATCTTGTTGTATCTGTTCCTTCCAGTTGAGTTCATTAGGGTTCATGGTGTCTGTTGTTATGGTCATCTGGGGGAGGTGTGTGATGGTCACCTCCATGTCCACATCCTCATTGGGTCCTGTCAGCCACTCCAGGTCTACAGGTACACCATCCCCTTCATTACCTGCACTGTACTGTATGTTGCAGTCATTACAGGTACAGTACACCATCTCCTTCATTACCTGTACTGTACTGTATGTTATAATAGGCTAGAGTTCAGTTGTTACATGAATTGCAGTTCACTTTTGTCTTTCCAGATGAAATACTGTACAGTACTATACAAAAGAACTTCTGCCAACCCTCACCATTATTGCCAAGTTGGAGAAATTTTTAAAAAGGTTCATAAACACACAGAAGCTTAATTTGTGTTAACTAAATCATAGACTGTATAGGATCTACTGGCTGATGATCCTATTGGTGAACATAAGCTAATCAGAGCGTAGGATCTTAATCTACCACCTGATGATCCTATTGGCTAAAAAAAAAAAGGCAAATTAAATAAAGGAAAATGCAGATTCCCAAATTCTGTGGACTGAAGCGTGAAAGTTTAATTCCAGTACAGTACAACTTATGAACACACACACGTTATAATCTTATCATATCCAACAGCTCAGTGACATAAATAACACACACTGGCTAAGTGATCTTCCATATTTCAAACCTTTAATAAGAAGAAACTAACAGACACTTTTTCCTCTTATACTGTAATATGCTACGCTTTATTTGTCCACCAATGGCAGCACCTTTGGACACTATGGATACATGAGACTGTTGTAAATGTTCAGTATTTGATGGGTAGAAGGGAAGAGTTGGTTAAGTTTCTTTATTTCTGTACACAACCAAACCTCCACATAACGGACATTTCTCTCCACATAGCATTCCGTTACGTGTGGCTTTCACATTTAACGGACCCTCGATATAACGGATTTTCCTCTTCATATAATCCATAAATAGAGGTTTGACTGTTGCCTGAAACATAAAAGAAATAAAGAAACTTGGCTCTTTCCCGTCTTTCCCTCCCACCCATCAATTCCACTTGAACACTGTACACCTTTAAAATAAAACTTGTTCAGTTCTTCTATATTAAAATACAGTCAGCCCTTAACATACGCGGGGGTTACGTAACAGAGATAGCCGTGGATGTTAAAAATCCGCGATATGCCCCCCAAAAACAATGGTACCCCCATGTCCTTATTTACCGAGGCGCTCGTTAACCGAGGGACTGCTGTACCTTGGTTTATTCTTTAATCAGTTGTCTAAGTACACGTAGCCAAACTAAGTCATCCTATAATACTGGAAGGTAGTAAATAATGTTTTTAAGAAGGTATCTTCATATCAAATACTATACAGTGCATTATAGTGACCCCTGTTGTAAGCTCATCTGCTGAAAGTTCTCACAAGAATATATTCTGAGTAAATAACCTTCTGATACACCTTATCCTTTTATTTTAACTCATATTACAAATAACATATATTATTGTATTTTTTCTCTATTGCTGAAGATGTTATATTGATCTTGATGAACCATAAGAGGACAATCATATGAGAATATAATACTGAATCAATAAATAAATAAACCTGATGAATGTGGCAACACCTGATGGATGGATACCAAAATGTACAGAGTCAAGTGACCCCCTTTAGTAACTACAGTACCACCCTGACTGAGTAAAGTACGTCGACACAAAACCTTTTGTTATATCCACACACTCATCTATTTATAACTACGAGTTGCCAAGTCATATAAAATGAGTTATTTTACAGATTTGGACCCATAGCAGCCTTAACAAACCCTACAGAACCCAAGATTAATGTGACATAAACTACGTCAGTGACCAATTAGTGTATGACAAGGGACCACATAATTTATGCCAGTAACCATTAAGAGGTTAAAATTAGGAAGGTCATTTGTAATATCCTGAAATTTCTCATCCCAGTTTATTTCACCTTAAGATTAACCAGTCTTGCACTATTTAGGGGTGGGAGGTTAGGTTATGATGGTACTGTATAGGTTAGGTTAGGTTAAGATAAATTACATTAGGGTTGGTGTCGTGGGTTGCATTGGGCCTACCAATGCAACCCAATTCCAGTGTTTGTTTTACGGGAGATAAGACACCAGGCGAGCCATGACTACGTCATCACTATTTCATTAGTGGGTATGTGAGCCAGTCTATGGGGGGGTGATTGAGACAGTATTGTCTTGTCCATCATTTCTCACAACCCAAAACCACATTTTAGCCACTAGGCCCTAGACCACGGGTTAGTTAAGACGTCCTCATCCTCCCCTTCCTTAAGGGAACAGGATGCTACACAGAGTCCTTTACTGCATCACAGCCCTGTGGACTGTCAGTGAAAAGAGACTGTGTGTGTGTGTGTGTGTGTGTGTCACCTTACTAGTTCTCCCGCACGACACCGTCTACAACGACTGTCAGTGACACGAGACTATGTGTGCCAACCCAAGGTTTTGTTATTCCTCGTGGAAAGAAGATCACGTGTGAAGGCCTGGTTGCAACTATAGCGATCCAGGCTGGCCGAGTGAATCTAATAAATTATACTCCCCAGTAAAGTAAATGTATCAATTGAGGAATTAAGGCTCTGTTAAGTCATACCCACAGTAGAGTAGTCAAATGTGGGTCCCCAGGTTGAAAATTCCCTCATTACAAGATTAATTTTATTAAGGCATGAATGTGAGTGACTCATATACTCATGCAAATTGTAAATCATTGTATGGAAGCTTGCCCGTATCTGTGATCCTTATCTTAATATTACTAAAGGTAATGACTGATTGGTTATGACAAAGTATAACCAATAACTTAGATGGATGTTGGAAATTAATGGACTTCATTAAATCATCATTTATCAAGTATAAATCACAGGGAATGTCGGGTGGTTGAGTGAATTTCTACGTAGATACGCCATAATTTCCTGTAAGTAACCAGTGTGAAGGTATCGAACTCTACAGTAAGAAATTAAGAAACATGAATACACATATCCATCCACACACCGCACGTGCAAGTTAGGTTAGTGTTAGATTAGGATAGCTTAAGGTTTGGTTAAGGTTAGCATTAGGATAAGTTACTCTAAGATTGGGTTAGGTCAGATTAGGTTAAGTTAGGTTAAAGTAACGTTGTTTGATCTTCAGGTAAAATAAGCTGGGGTGAGAATCTTGAGGTCATCATCCAACATAATCTCATCAACTCACCAACATTGAGGAAGTTGTGTGTAGGAACAAACATAGAGAAATACTTGACATCTGCGTCCGTTGTGTTGATGACAACTCTTCCGATGAACGCAGCTGGGGTAAACCAGAGCGGCCGTCGTGGGGGAGTATTGAGCTGATACTCTGCATGGAGCCTGGGGGCAGATATAAATAAAATATTAAAGTGGCATCCCCAGTAGTGAAGGGGTTAAGGGTGTCAGTCATTCAATAAACCATCCCAGCAGACTACACTTAGTCCTTTGGTGATTTATTAAGCTGTCACACACACTTTGTCTCTTAAATGTTAGCAACAAATATAGGATGACCTGAAGATTACACACCCCAGTTTATTTCACCTGAAGATTATCCATCCTACTACTAATCTAACCTCACCTTACTTAATCTGACTTAATCTGAAATAAGCTAGGGCTAATCTTCAGGTGAAATAAGCTGGGGCTAATCTTGAGGTGAAATAAGCTGGGGCTAATCTTCAGGTGAAATAAGGTGGGGCTAATCTTGAGGTGAAATAAGCTGGGGCTAATCTTCAGGTGAAATAAGCTAGGGCTAATCTTCAGGTGAAATAAGCTAGGGCTAATCTTCAGGTGAAATAAGCTGGGGCTAATCTTGAGGTGAAATAAGGTGGGGCTAATCTTGAGGAGATAAGACACAAATGAGGTACCATATGGGGAGTGTGGTACAGTACTCACCTGAAGCAGACATCTAAACAGTCAGTACTCCTGGCTCTGACTACAGCTACAGCTCCTCTAGGACCATACCTGTAGCAGAGAGAGAGTAGTACTGTATGTCTGTTACTCTACTACCAGATCACGGCAGGTTGAGGAGGCAGGTGTATAAGGTAATAACACAATGGTAAAATAAGAAGAAAAAAAACACACACACACACTGTCTCTCTTAACACACTTCCATTCATGTGTGGAGAACAGTTAACACATCACATCACCACAGCTCAAGAGGCCAGCCATAGATGTACCTGGACTGGAGGAAGGGTTGTGGGTGAAAGAGACACAGCAGATGGTACAGAAGCTCCTCCACAGGTCCTGACGGTGGAGGCGGCACATACTTGTTACTGAAAAAAAGTAAATAATAAAGAAGTGATCACAGCGAACCCACACAACACCAACAAGTAAAATTTAACTTACAACTATTATAAAAATACAAATAATAGAAATGTGATAATATGTATTAGTACACAGCTGACATGACAACCACAACAGATATGACAGATAAACACAGATGACATGACTATACAGTATAAGCTTTGGGTAGAGCTCCCTTTTAACTTGGCTTATATATAAATAAGATAAGGGGTTAAGTTACAAACCCAAAATGGTCTTTTCTCCAGTTATTGATAAACTGAAAATGTCACAGGCTATGAGTATAAGCACCGTAATTAACACTGTAAGCCGTGAGTGTTAGTTAAGGACAGGGCTCAGCTGGGCTGAGTTAAGTCACCCGTCCGATTCTCGTGGGAGTCAAGTGTGAACTGAGGTCATGAGGACAGGGCCTGTGAGGGGGAGGTGTTTCTGAGAAGAGAGGGCCTCTGAAGGAGATGCCGGGTTAACCCTACAATCTCAAGGTCAGCCTACTAAGGAATTTCCCCTCATGTGAACAGCACAAGGCACCTCACAGCTTATGGAAAAATACAGTAGGGTGATTGGATTATATAAACTAAATGTATTAACCCAAATTTATATAATTGTTATTGCCATGAGACAGGGGCGAATACATGACAACTACAACTTATATGACAGATAAACACAGCTGACATGACAGATAAACACAACTGATATTACTTTTTTTTTTTGCTTTTCTCCTCTTCACCACTAATTGGCTCGTTAGCCACTTTGGCGATCGGTCACGTCTCTGTTACACACTGTTGGCAAGTACTGGGCATGCACTGGCTCCTGAATGTACCTGAACCTGCTCCAGTGTCAGTCAAGTCTGGTCTTGAAAGAGCTCACACTCGGTGCCGTTACAACACATTCTGGCAGATTGTTCCAAGAGTTCACAACTCTCATTCTGAAAAAGTTTGCCCTCACAGTTTTCTGAACTTGCGGCTTCTTCAGCCTTGAGCTGTGACCCCTTGTGGGGCGAGCGTCCGCCAGCTCCAGGTAAGGACACTCGACTGAGTAGTGCCCTTTGAGATGCTTATACACCTCAATTAGGTCACCCCTTGCCAGTCTGTAGTACAAACTCGGCAATTGCAGGACCTCTAATCTCTCAGGGTAGCTGAGGTGCCGAAGTGCAGGCACCAGTCTGGTGGCCCTCCTTTGAATATTTTCAATCAACTGACAGTCCCTAGCATATCTCGGGGACCAGATGGGGTGACAGTACTCCAAATGGGGAAGCACTTCACTCTTGAAGATCGTTACAAAGGACAGACCGTCTAAATATCTGAACGACTTTCTAACAAGATCTAATAATTTAGTTGCCTGATTTACTTTCTTCTCGCAATGGCCCGAGAACTTCAGCTCATTGTCAACATACACACCAAGGTCCTTTTCACACTCAGTCTCAATTAATGCAGTTTCTTCATCCCGTTGGGACATTTGATACGCCTCCTTACCATTGGTACGTCCCAGGTGCATCCTCTTGCACTTCGTGACATTGAATCTCACCAACCATTTCTTCGACCATTCTTGGAATTCACAGAGATCCTTCTGCAGCTCTTCACAGTCAGCTTGGTTCTTGATTTCCCGAAATAAATTGGTGTCATCCGCAAACATTTGTATGGAGGAGTGTACGAAATCAGGCGTGTCATTTATGAAACAAACAAACAACAGCAGGCCCAATATGCTGACCTGTGGTACCCCGCTTGTCACGGGTACTCATGACGATTTCGTGCCATTAATCACCACACACTGCTTGCGATCATGGAGAAAGTCTCCGATCCACACTAGGACATTTCCCCGAATCCTGTACCCTTCCAGTTTAATTTCCAGCCTTTCATGGGGTACACTGTCGAAAGCCTTGGCAAAATCTAGATATATATTGTCGATATTACCACCCCGTTCCAGAATATGCGTCCAAATATCCAATACCTTAGAGTAATTGTGTTAAGCAGGAGTGCCCCGACATAAAACCGTGTTGGCAATCCTTTGCAAGGTTGTTTCGTAGCAGATGTTCCATCATGGCACCTCTTATAATGCTCTCAAGCACTTTACATATTATGCTGGTCCGGCTCACCGGTCTATAGTTGTTCATGGAGTGACGATCGCCCTTCTTGAGGACAGGACTCACAGAAGCCATTTTCCAATCACTGGGGACCTTTTGTTCATCCAGGCATTTACAGAACTGGATCTTCAGGGGCTCGGCATGCTCGTTGCTCAACTCTCTTAGCGCTCTAGGATGCACAATGTCAGGGCCGGGACTCTTATGGACCTTTAGCTTTGACAGTTTATTTCTTATACCCTCTTCTTTGAACACAGTGTGGTTCAGTGCTGTGTCGAACCGTCTGTCCTCAAACGCAGGAAGGTTAATCGCATCTTCTCTTGTGAACACCGAGGAAAAGAAGCTGTTCAATGCCTCAACTTTATCCTGATCAGCATCTGTGTAACTACCATCTTCAAGCCTTGGGTCTCATACTCCTACTCGTGTTTTTAATTTCGACCTTGCATAGCGGTAAAATGCCTTTGGGTTTGACTTGACCTAACTCGCAAGCAGACTCTGGATTTCCTTTTCAGCCCTTTTACACTCTGACTTTGCTTGGTTTCTGGCTCTTGCATACATCCTCTTGTTCTGCTGGTCATTTGACTTAACCCAAGTCTTGAATTTCTGGGTTTTCTTCTTAACTTTGTCGACCACCACATGGTTCATGTGTAGGGATCCCCTCACATTCCTAGAGGCACTGGGTTTGATCTTAGGTATATATTTATCGATCAAACGGTTGGAGAGTCATCCTCAGCATTAACAAGTTTGGCCCCGTAGCAAGTGATCTCTGCACTGCCATTGCCGTCCTTGCAAGAAAGCTGGCATCCTCGTGCTGCCAACACCTCTATGCTCTGATGCCCTGCCGCCTCATTCCCCTGGATAAGAATCCAAGATGTAGGCCTATAGGGGTGGGGGAAGTGCTGAGGCGGATCATCGGAAAATGCATAATGGAGGTGGTAAAGGCTAATGACAGGGCAGCAGCAGGGAACCTGCAAGTTTGTGCTAGCCACCAGGCTGGAGGGGAAGCTGCCATTCACGCCATGAGAACGATATTTGAGCAGCGCGATTGTGAGGCCGTTCTCCTGGTGGGCGCTTCAAACGCATTCAACATACTTAACCGTAAGGCCGCACTGCACAACATCAAGATCAAGTGTCCAAGCTTTGCAATGTATATTGAAAACACCTATAGGAATCCATCAGACCTCTATATAGTAAACACCAAGGCTCTAAGAGGTGATACCATCATACAGTCAACGGAGGGAACAACACAGGGGCACCCTGTTGCAATGGCAATGTACTCAATAGGCCTATCTGTGCTCCAACACAATAAAATTTGAAACAACTGGGGTCAAGCAAGTAGCATATGCTGATGACCTTCCAGGAGCAGGAAAAGTGGAGGACATCAAAAAGTGGTGGGACCTGGTAACATCACGAGGCCCACAAATAGGGTACCACCCAAACGCCAGCAAGTCTTTCCTCATTGTGAAGCCCGAACATTATGAACGGGCAATGGAGGTGTTTGGTGGAAGTGAGGTCAAAATAACAAAGGATGGCCAAAGACACCTAGGCGCAGTAATCGGCACGACGGACTCCGAGTACGTAACGGAAAAGGTGAATGAGTGGGTTAGGGAAATCCAAGCTCTGTCTGAGATTGCTAACACAGAGCCACATGCGGCTTTTGCGGCATTCACCCAAGGAGCCAAGCATCGTTGGAACTACCTAATGCGCACTATCCTGATATCGGAACCCTCCTCCACCCCCTGGAAGAAGCTATCAGCGTCAATATCATTCCCAAATTAGTGAAACGCCCTCACTTAACCCCAGCAGAAAGATCACTCCTTGCACTACACCAAGACTGGGAGGAATGGGACTGACCAATCCAGAGGAGATTGCTGCCACCGAACATCAATACTCAGTTAAGCTCACGGCAGCCCTCATGGACCACATAATAGCTCAGAACGCAACAGGGGAGGTGGATACCAGTGAAGTAAACAAGATTTGAAGGTCCATTACGACAGAACGACAGCACAGCCAACGTGATAAGTTGCAGCAACTGTTGCTGCAAGTACCAGAGAATTTGAAAAAAAAAAAGGAGCTATAGCGCAGGAGGTGGGCGCCTCGAACTGGTTAACTATGTAACCGATAAGGCAAATGGTTTCAGTCTCAATAAACAAGAACTTACAGATGCCAATGCTCTAAGGTACGGTAGGCCAGTGGAAGGTTTGCCCTCCCAATGTGTGTGTGGCTCTTCCTATGACGTCGATTACGCCATGATGTGCAAGAAAGGGGGGCTTCATATGCATGAGGCATGACGAAGTAAGGGATCTCACAGCAAATGTGTTGAAGGAAATCTGCCGTGATGTTATGGTAGAACCGACCCTCCTTCCTTTGGACGGTGAGATCTTCCAACATAGGACTTCAAACACATCTAACGAAGCCCACGTTGACGTCAGTGCTCAATGATTCTGGACACGGGGACAGCGAGCCTTCTTCGACATCAGAATTTTTTATCCCTTGGCCGCATGTCACCATAACTTATCTCTCAATGCTGCACACAGGAGGAATGAGAACGACAAGATAAGGGGATACGGGGAGAGAATTCAGAACGTTGATCAAGGCAGCTTCACTCCTCTAGTGTTCACATCTGGTGGGATGGGACCAAGTGCAAGATGCTTCTACGCCAGACTCGTGGAGGTGATATCCGAACAGAAGCAGCAGCCCAGAAGTTATGTTACAGCCTGGATGAGATGTCGAATGTCCTTCTCACTCCTTAGGTCAGCTTTGCTCTGCCTCAGGGGAACGAGAGCATCGGCTCCAAAGCCGACAACAGTTGCAGATATTGACTATGAGGCTACAGTCACCGAATGCCGCATAGATCTGCGGCTCAACTAACTCAACACAGCTAGGATAGCTATTTATGTATTAGGATATTTAATATTAAGGTAATAAAATGGTGGCAAAGGTGTGGCTATTGGGGGAGGCTGGAAGCCATTAAAAAAAAAAGTGTTTTAATTTAGTACCCTGTAGTAGCCTCTGTCAATTTTAATGGCTCCCCATTGGTACTGAAGTTAATCTAAATTCTGCTTAACAAATTTGCTGCAGTATAATCACCCTTAGAAAGGCTTCCATTAAATTGATACAGTGATCCCTCGGTTAACGAGCGCCTCGGTTAATGAGATTTCGGTTAACGATTTACCTTCCATAAGATTCTTAACTTCGGTTAACGAGCAATCCGTCGATTGACGAGTTTCTTACAAGCCGACTTCAACATGTTTTCGCTTGCATTTGGCGGTCCACCAGCTGTAGTATTAGTCCGCCAATACAGTAATCGGTTTTAGGGCTTAAATTCCTAACTATTTTAGTAAATATCAAGAACTTTATACTATTCAAAAAATTTAAAAGTTTAATATTAACTTTTTTAGTCATTTTAACAATTACTGAACATAATTGAAGGTAAAGAAACAAGTTTCTGGCGTGCCATCCAGCCTGTTAACACACCAGACAGGCGTTAGTCTCTCTCTGTTTTCAGTGCTTGAGACTCTCTTCAACTAAACGCTTTTTTTCTGTGTTTCCAAGCAAATTATTGGTCATTTTGAAATTTATTTTACATATTGACAATATATAATGCAGTGCAGTGTTGATTTAAAGAAAATAATCTTGAACTACACCAAGAGAACTAAAATTTTATGGGTGAAATAGTGCCATGGGGTGACTTCTCTTCCACCCCAATGCCTTCTCTTCTCCCTTCTCCTCCACCCCCATTCTAATTCCCATCATCATCATCATCATCCAGGAGCCTTGTACATACACACCTCAAAGTAAGTGTTCTTTTCTACATTTTTTTTTGAATTTAGGCAATTTTCGGTGAGCTGGAACCAATTACCCAAAAACCCATTGAAACAATGGTTTCGGTTAACGAGTTTTTCGGTTAACGAGCAACCTGCTAGAACGGATTGTGCTCGTTAACCGAGGGACCACTGTAATTGATTTAACAATTTTCAATAGAATGTTAGTACAGTACCTAATGTCATATTATGGAATAAATTATGTTTGTGTTTACCTTTACTCTAAATGTTCTCTCGTTCTAATTGGGTTTTGTTTTGTTCTGTTGCAGATGTATATGGATTTATGAGTTGAATAAAGCCTTGATTACTGAAGGTGTTTGATCTCTCATGACACCTATGTTATTAATAGTATATTATTTGTTCTGTGTAATGTTGTCACATCATGTTCCCCAAAGGTCATGTAGGTCGGTATGTACAGTTAGGAAAGATGTTGCCCTTACATACAGTCTATTTGATTATGTAAATGCGACCAGAGGTTGATTTATGCACACTATTTGTTTTGCATTACCTTAAGGGCAAAATCAAATTATGAAAATAATGTTATACACATGACATTACTAAATAAATTTATACATGATGAAAATTATTCAATGTAGCAGAAATAACCTGATTGACTGTACTAGACATCAACAGTTTTGGTAATTATGATAAGAATGTGAATATGAATTATTTATAGAATACACTGATGTTTTCTTTATAGCTAACTCAGTGTTGATTGTATGTATAATCATGAATCAGAAAGTAGACTTCTGTGCTTTATTTAGTCAATACAATTCCTTCAACAATATATAAAGAAAATTGCAGACATAAACCATAGTTTACAGAAATATATGAGAGAGAGAGAGACGCCGCCTCTCAGAGTGACGTCATCAAACCCACACCCAGGCCTTCTCTTCTAGGTGGCCTTGATCTAACTCACCTGAACATGAAATTGTCTTTAGTTGTGTCTGGCAATAATGTCCACACATGGCCGGGCTGAGCACTGATGCCCTCCTCCGGGAGTAAGGCGGTGAAGGCCTTAGGCTGGACCCACGACCACGACACAGCTGCCACCTTCCATGACAACACACCGTACAGGCTGTGACGTGACTTCTGGTGAGCAGGAACAAAAATACGCTACATCAAATAGCTGTAAAACAATAATATTTGTGGTAATGACTGTCATGTGCCCTAAACACATATTTTAAGCAATTTCTATATACAGTCAGTTCAGCTATAATGCAATAGTTGTGTTCTTGTAAAATATCGTGTTATAGAAAATCGCGTAATAGAAATAACAGGGCTTATGGAGAAAATAGGGTTAGGTGCAGATTACTACTCGAAATCGAAAAAAATTAGTAGTTAGCCTAACACAAAGGATAGCACAGTCTAAATAAATGTTACATTCATATCTAAAAATGAAATCATACAGTAAATGTAACACTTTACCTTGAAAAAATATGAATATAACTTGATGGGGGAGAAGGGTGATTTTGAGGTTGATAACATCGAGCTTCTCTTCAAGTGTTATATCCTTTCTTTTGCGATCATCACCGGGAATTCGATCACCAGAACGCTTCTTGTAGATATTCTTCTTTACCATATTCACAGTTAATACCACAAATTTGGAGAAATAGTAAGCAAAAATCGCGTTACAGCAAACAAGCGTTCGCGTTATACAAATAGTGTTCCTCTATTCATAAATCGCGTTAGAGCAAATTCGTGTAATCAAAACACGCGTTATAGCAGAACTCACTGTACGAGGTCTGCCCAAAAAGAAACCGATCTTTTTAAAAAACAAATTTATTGCTTTACTTACAACTTAATCAGACTTGTCTACTTCAAAGTACTCCCCTTCACTGTTGATACACCGCTCACAACGTTTTTTCCCAGTTCAGGAACGCGTCCTGGAACTCGTTTTGAAGGATGGTGTGCAGGTTTCGTAGCGAATTTTCTTCTATCCTTTGAAATTGGCAATCTTTCAGGGTGGATTTCAACTTTGGGAACAATAAAAAGTCCTCAGGGCGGCTGGGGGATGATGGTCGTCTCGTGCTTCACCAAAAGTCACGGATAAGGAGCGACGCGTGAGCAGGTGCATTGTCATGGTGCAGCGTCCAGGTCTTGCTTGTCCACGCCTCAGGCCTCTTCCTTCGCACTGCCTCCCTCAAACGCTTCAGGACCTCCAAGTAAAACTCTTTATTGACTGTCTGACCACGTGGAACAAACTCATGATGAACGACGCCCTTCCAATCAAAAATGACGATCAACATCACCTCCACATTTGAGTGACTCTGACGTCCAGATTTGGGATCGTCTTCGGTGGATGTTCTTCCCCTTTTGAAAAGCCGGTACCACACGTAACATTGTGCACGGCTCAAACAATCCTCCTATAAGCTTGTTGCAACATTTGAAAAGTCTCCATAAAAGTTTTCCCAATTTGAAACAGAATTTCACGCAAACATCTTGCTCTTCAAGATCCTTCATTGGTGTCTTAGGCTTAAAGTTTTTATCTTATATAGTATCACAGACTAAAGTTAGGAGAATATAATTTTCATTGCTGGAATCCTTGCAAGACAGCGAATAATTTGAATATAAACGTCATATATTTTGCACAAGAGATAAAAATTAATAATCTGTATCAAATTACAGTACAGTGAGTTCTGCTATAACGCGTGTTTTGATAACGCGAATTTGCTCTAACGCGATTTATGAATTCGGAACAATATTTGTATAACGCGATCGCTTGTTTGCTATAACGCGATTTTTGCTTACTATTTCTCCAATTTTGTGGTATTAACTGTGAATATGGTAAAGAAGAATATCTCCAAAAAGCATTCTGATGATAGAATTCCCGGTGATTATCGTAAAAGAAAGGATATAACACTTGAAGAGAAGCTTGATGTTATCAACCTCAAAATCACCCTTCTCCCCCATCAAGTTACATTCATATTTTTTCAAGGTAAAGTGTTAAATTTACTGTATGATTTCATTATTAGATATGAATGTAACATTTATTTAGACTGTGCTATCCTTTGTGTTAGGCTAACTACTAAATTTTTTCGATTTCGAGTAATCTGCACCTAACCCTATTTTCTCCATAAGCCCTGTTATTTCTATTACGCGATTTTCTATAACACGATATTTTACAAGAACACAATTATCGCGTTATAGCAGAACTACCTGTATATATATATATATATATACACACACACACACACAGTAATTCCTCGCTTTACGCTGTCAATTGAACCCACGGAGGCCAGCGTAAAGTGAACAACAGAACATATGGGATTAATTGAAATACGTAGAGACCGGGCCGACCCCCAAACTCCACTTTTTCCCGACCCAATACGTACGTTTTAGTAAAAATAACATATTAACTTTATGATGGTGTGCACACACACATATTATAGAAGAGAAATATTAATAAGAGAATAATATACTGTACCAGGTAAGAGAAAAATCAAGGTTTAAAACATATGTCATGGTAGGTTAGGTTAGAAAAAATCAAGGTTTAACACATGTCATGGTAGGTTAGGTTAGAAAAAAATCAAGGTTTAACACTTACATAAGGTTAGGTTATGTTTTAAAAAATCAAGGTTTAACACAAACCTAAGGTTAGGTTATGTTAGGAAAAATCAAGGTTTAACACTTACATAAGGTTAGGTTATGTTAGGAAAAATCAAGGTTTAACACAAACCTAAGGTTAGGTTATTTTAGGAAAAATCAAGGTTTAACACTTATATAAGGTTAGGTTATGTTTGGAAAAATCAAGGTTTAACACTTACGTAAGGTTAGGTTAAGTTAGGAAAAATCAAGGTTTAACACTTACGTAAGGTTAGGTTATGTTATAAAACATCAAGGTTCAACACAAACCTAAGGTTAGGTTATGTTAGGAAAAATCAAGGTTTAACACTTACGTAAGGTTAGGTTAAGTTAGGAAAAATCAAGGTTAGGTTTAACACTTCCGTTAGTAGAAGAGATGGGTCGGCGTACGGGAATGGAGGCTGGTTCCGAGGCAGAGGGCAGGCTACTGGCCCTCAGGTGAGTCACCATCACTGTCATCCACACTTAGCAGGGCCTCCCTGACAAATCCCTCAAAGTCACCATCACTGTCTCTGTCTCTGTCACTATCACTGGCTTGGGCTGGCTGTGGTGGGTTGCGGGCGAAGAACTCGGTAATGCTTTGTTGACGGCTAGTGTTGATGTTGTCGTGATACACCTTGATGTAGGACTCCAAAATCTGCAACAGCTGGGTAGTGAAGACTTCATACCGGTTATCGTCAGGGTCGTCGGAAAGGAGGAGCTTCAGTTTCTCTACACACTCGATGGCACCCCTTACATTACCATGCGATAACTTGCGTTCTTCTCGGAATGACGCACCACCTGTCTCTTCACTGACGTCATCGTCTTCTAACATCTCGTCGGCAGTCACATCAGGATCCCTTATCACCTCCATAATGTCGTCGTTGGTGGTCTCTGAGAAGCCTGCAGCTGTAACACTCTGCGCAGCTTCTCTGGCAAGGTCCACTGCTACTGCAACAGTCTGAACCTCACCAGTCACAGATTGACTCTGCCTCCCACTTGGGATACCTTGCAACACACGTCTCCAAGCGTGACGAACCGTTGCTACAGACAGCTGATCCCATGCCTCCACCAAGAAGTCCACAGCTTTCTTGACGTTGAATTTCCTCCAAAAGTGTTTCACAAGAACTTCTTGCTCTGCCAATTGTTGTTCCTCGTCCTCTTCGCTCTTGCTATCGGTGTCACCCAGGTTACACAACTCATCCTTGGTGTTAGTATAGTCGTTCAGGGGCTTAAACCTCTTTGCAGAGAATGCAGCTTTCACATTGCAGATTAATTCTTGGTCTATGGACTGGATTAATGACGTAGTGTTGGGAGGAAGGAAGACCACCCTTTACGTTGGGGTGATGATCCAACAGTAGGGGCGAGTGTCCTGGTGCGTTGTCAAGCAGCAACAAAATCTTGAATGGAACATTCTGTTGCTCACAGAATTTCTTCACGTCGGGAATGAAACAGTCATCAAGCCAGGAGAGGGACAGAGTAGAGAACATCCACGCCTTACGTGCGGTCAGTCAGTGGACATTTAGCTTGGTCATGTCCATGTTCTTGTAGGCGTGTGGCTTGCAGGCTGTGTGGATCACCGATAACTTGAGTTCACAGGAACCGGAGGCATTGGTGGTAAAGAGGACAGTGATGCGCTCCATCTGCAACTTCCGGCCCCTACACTTGCTGGCAGACTTGACAACAAAGGTCTTGGAAGGTAGCTTTTTCCAAAAGAGACCGGATTCGTCCATGTTGAACACCTGGTCGTAGGTGTACTGTCCTTCCTCCATAATCTCACGTAAGAACGGAGGAAAATCACTAGCCGCAACATGGTCAGCACTCGCTTCTTCACCACCAATGTTAATGTTGGTGATCTTGTTCCTCTTCTTAAACCTGTGCAACCACCCAGAGGAAGCATTGAAGGGCTTGGGCTCTGCAATTTCCATCTTACGTGACAATGCTGCGTACAGTTCACATGCGTACTCCTGAACTGAGCACGTGTCGACCGCCATGTTCCGTCTTGCCTGACGAATCAAGTAGCTCACAAGTAACTTCTCCGTCTTGAGAAGCACCTTTTTGTGGCAATACTTGATCAGTGAAGCACCTGTAGACTTTGTGATGTTCATGTGTTCTTTTATCTTGGCTGCATCCTTCTTGATCGTCCGGATCGTAGCTTCGTTCACACCATGCTAGCGAGTCAAATCAACCTGTCTTGTTCCTTTCTCCAACTCTTGGATGATCTTGTACTTCACCTCGTAGCTTAGGGCACGTCATATCTTCTTTGGCTTAGGGCAGCTGGGTCCAGGTAACGCACACTTGCATGGAAACATACGCACGTGCTCGTGAAGAGAGTCGATTTCAACGGGTCCCTTGCAGGTTTTATTAATTATAAAAAATATTACATCAATTAGTGAAATCTTGTACTGAAGGTATAGCTAATGCGATAGCATGTGTATTGTATAGCTATAGACCTTTCAACTGTCATTACGATTGTCATTTGAGTAAACTTAGCTTATTATATATTTCAAATGACATTTCTTTCGATTATTGATTGTTTGCCCGCAAAAAATACCTTTTTAAACTAGTTCACCACAGGATCGCATTGGAAAGTCTTTCATTTCGTAGGAACTGTGTAGTATCCATTCCATTACATATAATTGAAACATAAAATAAATAGATCAATAAATAAATCATTATATATAGATTTCTATTTTTAATGCCTCGCAGGGAATGTAAAATAAATAATTTCATTAAATAAACTTAACAATTCTGTTTCATTTATACAACTGCTTTTAAAGACAAGCATTGACACACACAGGCTAAGGCACACACTTACTACAGGAAGCAGTGAACCGATGATTTTGCTTAATCCCACAGCGAATTAAAACAGCAGTGTGTGTTGCTTTAGAAAGAAGTCTGTTTAGCATCGGTTACACACAACTGGATTAATTACCCGAAAGGTATTAAACGTTTGAAGATAATATTAGTATAAATTAATGATAAACAGGCAACCTCATAAACAACCTGCACACAGCTGTGCCTGATGCATGAGGTTCTTTAACATACTTACCGATTTTTATTTGTGTAATTGTCTAAACATAAATTCATATAGGTTGCTCTATCCATTTTAAAATCAAATTAACAGTATATACCAGCAGAAAGGTATAATATAATGCGAAACAACAAAGCCCAACCATTAATAAAGCAACGGGGAACTATGTAACCAATCACCGATCACTTTTACATTCATTCATAATTTTTACTACGTACTATAGTAAGCAAATGGCCTTGAGTTGCCAACTGTCTCCAGCAGTGTTCGAAGAATCTTGAACGAGACTGTACACATATATGGGTAGATAATTTTTTATTGTTGTATTTTTGTAAGAGCGGCGAAGTGTCTCGATAAGTCGGAATTTGAACAACTCGGCAAGGCCAGAGCCCCATATATGCCAAGTTATCAAGCGTGTACTGTACTGTACTGTACAGTACTACAGAGTTTCTGACCTCTTACCTCAGAGTCAATAAAACTGGAGAAGACTGAAGGGTCAAGAGGCGTAAAGTTGGTGTTTAAGGTGACGACGGCCAGACCATCCGCGGCGTCCCAGAACCATACAGGAGTGCCTGGATGTTGCACCAGGAACAATGTGTAGAGCAATGTGTTGACGCATAACCCTGCAACAGTACAGTACCTATGATAGGGTCTTTCTAAAAAAACACACACACACACACACACACGTATGCGTCATCAGCCTGGTCGTCTTCTCTCAACTCCACCCAACAACGTCAGCTAGAGAAGATACAGAAAAGGGCCTGCAGAATCATGCTCGGCGCAGAATACTCCGGCTACACCAACGCTCTCTCCACCCTGGAAATGCCATCCCTCAGTGACCTCCACCACCAAGCACTGGAAAGGTTTGGCCGTGGACTACTGCACCACCCTCGTCATCTCCACCTCCTGCAGCCCCCCACCCACCTCGCGCAGTCCGCCACTACAACAAAATTCAGCCCATAAGAGCCCGCACCGATAGATATAAGAACAGCACCATCCCATCTATTGTTAAAATGATAAACAACTCTTGATTTATGTACTGTGCATATTATATCATTATGTCTAAATCAAATTTAAGTCTGTATATCTTCAGCCACCGGCTGCACACACACACACACACACACACACGCCGCACGCACGCATGCGCACGCCCGCATACGCACGCGCACGCACGCACGCACGCACGCACGCACGCGGAAGATCCACTTACCCAGCACAATACAGCCACACACTGTCTTGTTTTTATATTGTTGGACATTTTCATTGAGTCTTTTTCTCTCTTGTTCTGGTTGTCTTTCTCTGTAGTGGTCGTTGTTCTGTGTGTCTCGTGCCGCAGTTTCTCTCACACCATCGTTGTCGTCCACGAAGGCTGCGTCACAATTTCTCTTCCGTAGCGTCCCCATATTTTACTGTTCTCTTATGGAGCGCTCGACATCTGCAAACAGAAAAATGTAGAGATATCACCTGAATATTAGACTCCCCAGTTTATTTCACTATATAGTACCGATTGTTAGGTTATGGTGTACAGTAAAAAGATACCTAACACAGTGATCGACAGTGTGGTCATTGTTAGGTTAGGTTATGGCAGGGGTGGGCAATTATTTTTGATGGAGGGACACTTCATGAATGGTGGCACACTTTGTGGGCCACAGGTTAACAGCGACGAGCCAGTATTGCTGCTATGTCCACCCAACTTCCAAAATTGTCCTTTCTGTAATGAATAAGAATTTTTTTTTTCTGATTGCCAAATGCAGTGGCAGGCCACAGAAATAATTTGGCGGGCCAAATGTGGCCCGCGGGCCGCACTTTGCCCACCCCTGGGTTATGGTGTACAGTAAAACAGATACCTAACACAGTGATCGACAGTGTGCTCATTGTTAGGTTAGGTTATGGTGTACAGTAAAACAGATACCTAACACAGTGATCGACAGTGTGCTCATGATCATGTCAGGTTGGTGCGACTTTTCTGTCAGGTAAAGTAAAAATAAATCCTATAATGACTAATTCTCGACATCTCTACCTCCAATTAGCCTCAGTTTTTTCACAAAATCTTGAGAAATCCTGTTGTTTTTATACTGAACCTTGAAATTGTTCAGTGACGAACACAGACGCACGCACGCACGCACACACATACACATAAATTACACTACACATAAACTACATCCTTGACCACCGGAGGGTCAAGACCTATTGGGTGCCCGCCCCTGCTGCGGCAGCTGCCCCCGGCCAATGTTCGGCCATTCCCCAAGTCCCTCTCCTTGACCCATCCTCACCACCACGATGTTACCATAATCCCATCAGAGGTGACAATTTTGTTTCAGAAAGAAGTAGGATCAGTGTTGAGCAGTGATGAACAGTGTTTAAGCCAGTGAATTCAGCATTAGACGGTACCAGTGAGAGCAGTGACCCACCAGTGAGATAAGCACCCCTGGGAACCGACCACCGTCTTCTGACCGACCACCGTCTTCTGACCAGGAGGTGCTAATCAATCCACGACAGTGGGTCGGCATTACACAATATCATAAGATAACACAACACCACCTAGCAGAGAGTGAGGTACTGTCATACCACCCCATACCACATGCTGTCTCCATGACCATGTGAGGTCCTTCATATCAACACCCGAGGACAAGTCACTACACCACGTGAACACCACACCACACCAGTGTCTCCATGACCATGTGAGGTCCTTCATATCAACACCCGAGGGAGAGTTACTGCACCAAATGGCCTACGTGACCTCACACAGTAGGGCAAGAGACCAGCCCGGGCTATCAACTGCAAATTATAATAATTTGTATGTTCAGTTCATGTTCCTTCTCCATGTCTTTGTATGTAATAAGTCATTTTTGTCTAATGTATATTTTCAGCATTCATGCTACTGAACTTTTTCAATAAACTGTTAATTATTATTATCATTACAGTAAGTCCTCGCTTAACGTCGGGGTTACGTTCCTGAAAATACGACGTTCTATGAAACAGCGTTAAGCGGATCAATTTTCCCCAATAGAAATAGATAAAATGAGGGAGTTACGTTCCTGAGCCTCCCTTTGCCCCATGAAATACATTACATATACAGAAAATCATTGCCATCTCTATAGAAAATACTACATACATATACAACTACAGGTTGAACTTCCCTAATCCGGCACCCTTTGGACCTGACTGGTGCCGGGACATCCTCAATATCCTATGATTCCAACTCATCAAAGCCTGCCTCCCTAGCCAAGTTGAGGATATCCCTATTCATTGCTGGAACTAAGTCCGTGAATCCCGTAAAACTGTTGATGCACTCAGGCCACAGTTTACGCCACACGCCACTCAGGCAACTTTCTGAAACCTCTTCCCATGCCTTGCCAATGTTGTCAACTGCATGAAGAATGTTGAAGCCACTACACATTTTCTCGGATCGCAGGTTTATTATCTCCGTCTGCAGCCTTGAGCACCTGGGCCATGGTACGGCGTAAATAATACCACTTGCATGCGGCGATGACGCCTTGGTCCATAGGCTGCATCAGTGCTGTCGTGTTGGGAAGCAGGAATACAGCTTTTACACTGTCATGCAAGTCGTCGAGATTGGGAGGACGAGCTGGAGCATTGTCAAGGATCAGAAGAATTTTGAAGTCAAGGTTCTCCTTGGCAATCTATTCCTTCATTGCAGGGATGACGCACACATTTAACCACTGGCTAAATATGGTGCTGGTTATCCATGCCTTTTTGTTTGCCTTGTTGATCACTGGAAGGTGATCCTTAGAGTAACCTCTCAGGGCCCGTGGGTTAGCAGCACAAGAAATCAGCATAGGCTTCAGCTTGAAGTCACCGGCAGAGTTTGCGCCAAGCTGCAGCGTCAAGCGATCTTTTGCCGCTTTAAAACCTGGCGCTCTTTTCTCCTCCTTGGAGATATAGGTCCTCTCAGGCATCCTCCTCCAAAAGAGACCAGTCTCATCCACACTGAAGACTTGCTTCTATGAGTAGCCTCCTTCCTGGATAATCCATTTGAATTCTGGCGGAATGTCTCGGCAGCAACAGTATCTGAACTGGCAGCTTCACCAGTCATCTTAATATTGTGGAGGTTATAACTACGCTTAAATTGTTGAAACAAGTCTCGGCTGGCCGTAAAGATCTCTTCCTTCGATCCTTCACCCTCTGTTTCCTTCATGTCGTCAAACAAGGATCTGGCCAGCATCTTTTCCACCTTTTCTATCACAGTGCTTCTAGTATGAGTTGTCTTTGTTGCACTCAGAGAAGAACCACTTCCAGCACTAACCTTAATCTTGTCAGCTTTGGTCCGGATAATACGCACCATTGTGGGGGTTAGACCAAGCACAACGGCTATGTCCACAGCACGTTTCCCTTTTTCAAAACGTGCTAATACAACCATTTTCGTAGCCAGGGTAATGGTCTTACATTGTCTCTTCACTACACTAGCATCAGTAACACTTGATGAGCGCTTGGAAGCCATTTCAAATGGTTAGAGCAAAAGCACTGAAGCACACACGAATGATGTGAAGTCGTAACAAAGACTGGCTCTGCGTCGCTTGGGGATGCTGTGACATTCCGCGAGTGAGGGCAGTACGCCGAGCCGAGAGAGCATAGCGCGGCCAGAGAAGAGCGGGTGATGCGCAGTAGAAAGTAGTCCCTGAAAATGCAAAACAATGTAGTATTGGATCACCGGGATGTTAAACGAATTTTTGGTCTCTCGAAGTTTAGCGACGTAGTACCGAAAAACGTTAGGCGGGACGACATTAGGCGAAGATTTACTTTATTATTATTTATTATTATTATTATTATTATTATTATTATTATTATTATTATACAGAGATCACAAGTAATTTTGGTAAATATTCGGGTTGTGGCTGTTTTTAATTGAAAATAGTTTTAAAAATATAGTACTCCTGTACTCGGTTTTATTTGAGGATACAGTTCAGTATTCTTTGGAAAATATATAAAATGGCTGAAATGATGTGCTAACCTAACCTAACTTATATCTTAAAACACCACGATCTAGAAAATTAAGCATTTGCACAAGAAAATGAATAGAACAAAGTAATCAGTGTACAAAACATTGTTTAAAAATACCCAGTTGTCAGTTGACTAAGTATTTTTTTAGAATAGCACCAGAAGTTGATAGAAGGGGACAAAACTCTATAGAAACGTTATTTACAATCTAAGTAACCAAATCTAAAGTAACCTATCTAACCCAATGTAAAAAAAATTTTAAAACAAACCTAACAACACTGAATGGATTCTTGTTTCCATTTATGTATTTCATAGGGTAAATTTTCACTTATTGTCACTATACAAAATCAAAGTTGAAACTATGTTTTTCAGGTGGTTTTGATGAGTTGTGAAAAATTTGACCTTCATTTGTGGCACAAATCAATAGTTTCTGAGTAAAGCCCCCCCCTCCCCCTCCCATCTCAGTATCTAGAGATTTACTGCAAAACTCCAGGTAAAGAATGTTCAAAACACATCAAAAACTATCTGAAAATTTTTTGAATCCAACCTAACCAAACCAGATTCAGATTTGCCCCCGAGGGGGCTAGTTTATTGGGCACCCCCTTACATCCTGTGCAAGGTGAAGCGCAGAAGCGTTTACAGCGCCCAACAGGGAAGTATGAAAAGTTCATACTTGCCTTTATGACTCGTACATTAAGGGCGTAAAAGCCTGAAGGGTCATAGGTTCTGTCAAGTTACATAAAGTGAGAGAATGATGAGTGTGTGGGGGGAAAGTTCCCGGTACCCTAACCAAACCTAACTGGGGGGCTCCACAGACATTCAATGTTCTGGACGTGTACCACCACGTACGAACATACAGTACATAGTAAAATGTTAAACAGGTTAATATTTAGTAGTTTCTACAACCTAACTGAATATTGAGTTATATATGGGGATAGAAAAAAAATTATTATAAAATGTTTCTGTCACAAATGTACAGTTTTCTAGTTATTTTAGCTTTATTTTATAATATCTGGCCAATCAGCGCAAGACTTGATGGGACGCCATAGTCGTGCGTGCCAATCAGCGTGAGTGCCGATGTGGAGTCATACTCGCACATTAATCAGCATTTGCAGCCAATTGGAAGATGGCGTCGGTGTGAGATGGATGGCCATTGGCTGGCTGGTGCATTATTCAGCAGATTTTGGACAATGAAGCAGCAGCCATTGTCATTTTCAGGGCTGAAGGTGTTGTTGTTTGATCTGTAAAATGTCTTATAGTATGTAATTCAGTGTAAGTACTGTGTAGATCACCATGCATGGGACTGTGGTAAGACACTTCCTCTCTATCCTCCTGTACCTCTTACTTAGGGTAAGTTTCTTACACCCTAAGGGTGAGGTGAGGTGAGGTGAGGTGAGGTGAGGTGAGGTGGTGAGGTGTGGTGAGGCAAGGTTAGGTTGGGTTAAGTTTTCAGTTTTTTTTAGGTTTTTACATTGG